TCCTCCCGTGGGAGTGTTACCTTTCTGCGGATTAATTTTTTCCGGATGTTTCTGCGCCTTTTGTGCATTTTCTAATCACTGCGTGGAAATTTAATCCATCTCAATTTATGGATGGTTGTTTCCCCACAGGTGAAGCGCTGCGCGCAATCCGCATGTGTGCTTCCTGCGCGCATCACCTGAACTTCATGTGGGTTTGCGTGTGCGTGCACGTCTGGCTGTCGGAAATCCAGATTATTGCCGTTCGCTCATCATCGAGGTTTATTCCACCGGCTGATTCCGCTTTGAGGAATAAATATGACACATTTTGATCCGTCTGAAGGTTCTCGTTTGTCTTGACCTATTGTCACATAGACCTTATCGTATATTCAGACACCACATCTATCCGAGCGCTCCGCAACTCAAAGGCTGGACATGCCTTCGCGAAATCGGTCTCCTTACTCGTTTGTATGTCTATAATGACTGGTGTCTAAGCGCAGTTTATTCATTTGCTAGTATCGTTTTCCTTCACTCTAGTTTGTTTGCTTTTGGTTACAAATTATTGGCCTTTTATCATCGGCATCTATATTATTCTTTCATGCAGTTTTTAAGTGTATGTTAAAGCATTTTGATTTCTTCCCAATCCGTATTACATTATTTTTCCGTTTGTGTTTGTGATCCTACACTCAGTCAGTAGGATTCTTAGTTACCTTCAACCTGCGTTTTACAGTCCTAGACATTTTTAGTGCTTTTTGGCCATTGTACTTAATCGGGTTTCAGTTTGATCTCGACTCGCGCAGTTGTGTTCAACCTGTGCAACCCATCTGAACTGCACAGTTGGACCATCTTCCCCAGCTGGCATGCCTTCTCGCCGATCACATCCTTTCTCGCAGTTGTAGCTATTGCGTATAGTTGCTACGCGTGGCATTTCTAATTAACAGCGCCGTTTTTATCATCATCATCATCCGCTCTCCATTGAACTATGATTGTATTCGACTGCGAGTTTTTGCACCACCTAATCTCAGGCTAACTTTTACCCGGCGTCAGAGCCTTATGTTGCTTTACATCTCAAGCAGTTTGGGGAGGTGCACTCTGTTTACCACATTACGAGTGCGCTTCTACTGAAACTGATGAGACCAAACAAATTGTTCTTCCAAAGGACCTAGTAATGCCTAATGTTTCCATAGTTTCTGCAATGTCTGCGAAGTGGGTCTCCATTCTTCACTTCGTAATTTATCTCTTGGCTTTCTCCTAAACGTTAACACTTCTGCGAATGTGGGGTTTCGGAGTTTCATCCTGGTCAGAGCAAGTAAAATGACTGATCGTTGTCTGCCCATCTTCAGACCCTTTATATATATTCCGTAGTGACTTATAGCAAGCACATTTATCGAAGCAACCGGGACAATGCATGTTGACAGCTTGGAGATGTTGGATCATTGTAATGGTAGAAGTCTCATTTCCATCACTTGAGGTACAGAGTTCAGAAAATTTTTAATCAATTTTTCAACTTTCACGGGTGGTGGCGGATGAGAGAGGGAACCTTTGAATACTTAGCCGAACATTTCAAAAGGCGGTTCAGTTAGCTTGTTGCGTCGTTGTCGTTACCGTGTACCAAACCCGTTAGCTACCGTTCCGGCCCTTGGCACGCGTGAGATCCAATTGACCCCATTGCAGCCCAGTCTTTTTCCGCTTCTAAACGCCCCACTATAACTGTCTTCCCTAGCCTTGCACAGCATGGCGTCTCATTTTTGTTGTTTGTGGCCACATGATATTGATTTCACAGGGACCCCTCATTATTTACCTGTTTCACATTGTTTGGCGGATGTGTGCGCATCCGGAAGTACTGTTCTTGTGTTCATCACAACATTGAGAATACTAAAAATTCCTTCTTCCGCTTAATATTTCTCGTCTAGCATTGTGTTCGAAATGACTCAGATGCTTCTGTTCGTACCGATTTCACCGAGGTTGTAACTCTATCAACTCCCAACTGACTTATGTAGAGCGAGCGAGCAAGCGAGCAGTTTGTATTTTCGAGTCCACCTCCCAGGCATTCAACACTGTACCACCTAGAATTAACTTTACTATTCCAAAGGGAAACCTGTACATTCTTTGCACTCACTCCATTAATGGTTAGTTGTATGACTTACGCGATCCCACTAGCAGCATGAATCGTGCTTTCCGTCTCATTGAACGTCTTGTGCCTCCGCAGCTATGATAGCATGCACGGCTGTTGCGTAACCAGAGCTACTGTATGCACCAAATGTTTGACTGTTGTACTTCAAATATTGAAAGGCTACTCCTCGACCAAGCTATGTTTCATACCCACGAATCACCTTATGCGTATTTGTGGCTTCGTTTTCTTCAGTCTGCCCATGCTGCGTCGCGCAATTTGTTGGGCAACTTTTTCTTTTTTTCATTATGACCAATTACAACGTTTTGCTCTTTTTCAAAAATATTCCATTATTGCTTACCTCCTGGCGTATTTTACTGAAATAGGGTGGAATATCCTGATTGTAACGCCGGCGTTGCACTGATGTTAGTTCTCACTATGAATATACTCCATCGGGTTCGGCCGCCTTCGTGTTAATTGCGCTGCCAGACGCTTGCGTTTTCCATGAGGCAGCCAATGAACGTACTGCCATCGGCTTCCTACTTACCAGTGGTTACCGTTTACTCAGGTCGTGGCGCTGCTTTTCAGACTGTACACTCGACCACTTGTGCTTATTTTTATATCTAGTATGACCGTGCTACCTTTCGCCATCAATGGATGCGGCATCAACGTAGTTTCTCCTCATATGCTTGAAGAATGTGTCTTGTTACGGATTTCTTAATTCCGCTTCGATGTACACACAGTCATATTTGGCGACTAACCTAGTGCTTCCAGCTTTGGATCAGGTGATTCCCGTGATGGTCTTTCTGCTACTTGCTAATTCTCATCCACACCGTCCGTTTGACTCATTGTTCAGCGAAGAATTGCTACTACTCATGACAAATGACAACTGATCCGTTTGCCTCAACTTTCCTCCATCAACATCCCTTCCGTCTAATGCGATCTACCTATTGACATTATTTCTGTTCCACTTAATGCATATCGAATACGCTAATCCAATTTTCTTCGTATCCATTCCGGACCTGTTGGCTCTTTTAGGTATCACTGTAGGCATGTGGTTGCCACTCACGTGTCAATCTTTTATACAATGGTCCCCTATGTTGCACCCTAGCAGCTACTCAGTGTTTACTGTTTTCGAACGTCCGGTTATGCAATTCACTCTGTGCAGACTGTGATGGGAGTTGGATACGTCTAGATTTAGTTCACGTTGTTTTCCCCTCATGTCCTTCAATCCAAATCAACATGTACAACAACCTACTGTACGGGGAGTATGTTTACCACAGTGTCCGACTACTGGGAATAGCATCATTTGCGTCCCGCTCTGTTTCCATCTCCTCTCGGGCATCGCAATGATTCCATGCTTACCAAATTGAATTTGTGCATACCCCGTTAACTCCACTGTACGAGTGTTCCCATTTGCATCGTCCCACTCGTTATGGGAGGGGGAGGTTGGTGGGATACCAAGGCCCCATTTTTGGAACTTGTCATCATTATTAGCTGCTCTTGTTTTCCTTGATTGATTGTCACTAAATCTTCCATATTTGTTTCAAAGTGCCTAATGCGATTTCGAGTTAGTGATGCACTACTCCAACCCCTAAAATTTCACCGGACCGAACGATCAAGTATGTGGGCATATGTATTGATCCGAGACGAAATGTCTGTCATTTAGGACCTGCAGTTATTTCTTCTCATCAACTTGCGTGACTCCTGGTGATTGCGTCATTAGTAGAACGACTCACCCGCAGTCGGTACACGCACGCTGCACACGCATCCGGTGCGTCGCATTTCACACTTCAGCGCAGTTGACCTGTGGGAATGGAGCTAAAACAGCATTTCGACAAAGGCGGTGAATTCCTGAAGCCACCCATAGCACCTATAGTGTTTCGCTCATTTACATTTTCGTATCACATCCGTATGATTAGTGTCTTTCGTTTAATTAATCCAGTCCAGTGTGATCCGAACCTGGCACGTGCAAATTGAGTGCAATGCTAGTCGGATGTTTTACTTCCGTGGTCACCATTCAAATGAATGAGAAGCGAATGGCCCGCTCACCAAAAGCGCTCCAGTCGACTCTCAGCGATGCTTGTTTCATTTTGCAATGAACTCACAAATTCAATCATATGGGCATTTAATCTCACTTCGCATATCATGCAAACCAAAATGTACTGCTCCCTGAGTTCCTTGTTCCTTAATGTATGTAATTTATTTCCGCAAAACCGATCCCACTATACCATTTTTCAATTTATTGCGTCCTTAGTGCAACAACTTGCATCTTTAGCACAAAAGCGATGATCCAACAGTCACGAAAATTGCATTCACGACGCAGTCAGATAACCAGCTGTCGCTCGCCTCAAACGGATATATTGTTTACTCATTCAAGCCATCGGCTTGTCTAGTTTCGCACCAGCAGTGGATAATAAGCGGATCGAAGCAGGGGTTTGCCTACGAACTGGATGCAAACTCCAAAGCCAGGGGTGTGAAGGGTTGACGAAGTCAGCACAGTTCTGGACGAACGCAAACTTATCAGTGAGCTTGTCCGGAACACTGGATTACACCCTCCGATTTGGTCGAGTGTGTTGTGAATGGAGTCCAAACGGTTTCACAAAGAGGGCTTAAGTGGACAAACGAGATGTGCGTTTAAGGCGAGCGGACAGCTGACTCACTGCGGGCGTCGTGGATGCAATTTTCGTGAACATCGGATTATTATTTTTCCGCTAAGGATGCAAGCTGCTGCGCTACGCATCTAAGCCATTGCGTTAAAGATGCAATCATTTGTGAAATTATGTGGATGCGGCTGATGCGCTGTCCACTTCACGTCTCAGTCATACAATCAACCACATAGTTTGTGCTCTGTTGAGCTCTGTTTTCCTTCCTGTTTCCTTGGTTCCATTTCATCCGCCGCTTGTTTTGAATGATGTTCAGAAAACACGGTCCAGAAGCCCTGGAGGTGGAACTCCGCATGGAAATGCAACGGATTTCGGAGCGCAATTTAGGACGTGATGACCGGTTAGTTTCATTTACTGTGACTGCACACTTAAGTTTATTCATTGCCTAGTGCTGAGTAACAGTTGCGACAATGGCTTTTCTGGTTCTGTACATTTTATCCTCATATCATTACAAAAGGGATTAACATTACTGGGAGCACAACCTTTAGATGCCAACTATTTTTGCTAACACGATTAGTCTTATTGTAGTGAACACTTGTTCGAGCACTTACTTCGAGTTGGAAACGCCGAACCTATTTCCTGAAGTTTATGTGGTCTGTTGTTGGCTAGTCATCCAACAACAACATCGGCAGCATCAACAGTAGAGGAAGCAACAGCAGCATCATCAATAACGACGACGACCACAACAACGACAACAGTGTAGCGGTGTACGGGCGCCTGTATTCTGTGCCAACCGAACATAACTTTGCTCGCATTATTGTTTTGTGATGGACACAATGTATGAATTTCAGTTCTGCCACCTAGCCACCAATCAAATCTTGTCCCATACATGCATCCCAAGTAGAATCTACGTCCCAACTTCGCACATCTCGGTGACTCACTTCACAGCGTCTTCGAATTTGAGTTAACAATGTACCATCATCTACTGGATCATTGGAAACTCCTTGTTGAGGATTGTAATTAGGAATTTTGTATTCCTCGTCCTGAGAAACCGTGTCATACAAAGGGACGAATCGTATTTACTTACACAAGAAGAAGAAGGGATCAGCAATACGCCGGCGCACCTTACCGACGTTTAAGTACCACGTGACCACCAACAGTGACGCGTGGGCTGACTGCAACACGAGGCTGTGCGTACATACGCGGATTCGAACCGGCGCCCTCTGGTTTATAAAGTAAACGTATAAATTTCTTGGCCGTCGACCAAAAGTATGTTGTTTATTCATTCACACACATGCACTCTCATATTCACATACACAACGTGCTCACGCATACAGAACTGTCGATGTTGTGGGGGTTATGGAAGGGTACAGTTGGATCGTTTTGATACCCATCTTCCATTGGATCTTTCACTAATTCGTGGGAACCATGATGTGAGTGGAAAATGGTTGCTGCTGTCCCATATCTTGGAATACGTTTGAAGCCGATCGAAATGTCATGATTTCAAAAGGTTTTGTGGACAACCGGTTTATATACTTGTTGTGCGTCGTTTCGCTTTTCGTAAAAGTGCTTGCTCAAATTAGAGCCGTCATCCAAAAATAGACACGGAAACACAGTCGTGGAAGAAGAAAATAAAGATGATTTTTTCAGAAGTGTCACACGGCTCGTTCGGTAGTGGTACAATTTAATTATTCACTTCCTGCAGATCGGGCGACTAATTCTTTTTATCAAATAGTTGCAAAGACTGTGCACGTGTGGATATAGACTAACTAGCAATAGAGCTACTCACGAGTATAGTTGAACACATTAGGCGCATGTCACAGCCGCTGAGGAACGAGCTTAACCACGACGCTCAATCACAAGAGAGATTTCGAGCAAAGGGTTACTTTCCAGGCGGTGGAAATCTTCAAAGCCCACAGCTGCGCGAACTGTGTTAATATGGTTAGAGCTGTCGAATTTGTGGAAAACTTTCTTAACCTTAGTCTGAGAAGTGTCCCCATAGGTATCCGCACTCCTGTCACGGATGACTACGGACCTTCTCAATCCTAATATACTACTTTAGATACCACTGGCCTGTGACGCTATTATTCTTTTAATTACCTCGCGATCATCACGAGTATCTTCCCGGTTTGCTATCATTGCTACACCAATCATCCACTGGTTCACTTGGGCTAACGAAGCGAAATATTACCCACCAAATAAACCAACCGATTTATTGGATGCGTCAGTTTGAAGCACACGTATGTGTGTGTGGAATGCGGCGCGTAATCTCAGTCAAGACCCCAATGTACATTGAAGTGAAAGTCGGTTAATGCTTTCATTGGGACAATATCAGGAGGAGATAAGTATTGATTATTATCCATTTGCAGCAGCAGCACTCAACTCCACGGCCAGATTCGTAGTCGATTGTTTTTTCATGTCGTGAAATATTGTGCTTTCGAACTATTTCAAGCATATTCCACTGAAACTCCTTTGTTAGATTCTTTTACACAACGTCACCACATACACTCGTCACTTTTTATCCAACTCTATCTGCGTACATATTGCCTATCAGCTTGTAACCGATGTTGTACTTCACTTCTTTTTTGTGCTTCATGCACATGCCCAAGTACGTGTCCCGCAACATTTGCGAATCGACATTGTTTGTTTCGTTAAAACATTTACACAGGCACCAACACTAGCATTGCTGTTACAGCGGCTGTTTTTACGACGGTTGCAATTCCCGGACGTGTGTGTACTCTCATTCCCTCCTGATCAATTCTCATTCTTTCTTTCATTCTTTATTGTTTATTATCTCCAAACGATTTGATCCATTTTAGCTTTACTCATTCTCGACACCCATTTTGTCTCCTCGCTTTCTGAATGCTACATCCTCTTCGAAAATTTTATTTGTTGCGTTGTACTTGCTTCCAGCGTTGTATTTCACGACCCGTTTTTTCCCTGTTTCTTATAGCCACACATAAGTGATCCTACTAATTTTCCAGCAGACAGTCTGGTTGCTGCAGCCTGTCACATGTGACAACGAGACTGTCAGCCCCATCACCCTCACTCAGACACAGCATGTGTTTTCATTAAGGGGACAAATCGATCAAGCACTAAACACTTTCCCACTGTATTTTCGTGACATCTATAAGATGGGAATTTGTCTGTTTGTCTGAGGCATATTGTCTTCTGTGTCGTCCAATCAAACTTTCATATTAAAAACTGCAGTACCTGATAGATGAAACATTGAAGCACCTAATATACATGTCATTTTCGTGAAAGCGAAGTGATTCACTTTCATCTATTGCAAAACACATTTGCTCTTAGACTTGCCCTGAAATCGCTTTTTGTCATTCCGTTTCATCAGTCAGAATTCACTCTGCTTTTGTGACATTTTGTGAACCTTTTGCCGGCAGACATTCCATTATAATTGAGTAGTTGCTTACCAGTTACAGAAACTCCCTTTTCTCTTCTGGTTCTACAATTATTGCCGGTTAAGGTAGTCAATGCTTCCCTGCAAAATGTTTAAAAACTGGTTGAAGCTCCCACTTGTTGATTCGCTCAGCTCTTTACTGCTCTGAGAAAACAAAGTGTCAGGATAACCTGGCAAATGTTTGCCTGTCCGTACCTGAATTGTGCACTTAAAGGTTGTTCTCTGACAAGTGAATTGCCTGCTAGGGGATCGAATGGGGGATAATTCGCTTTTTATGCGATTCGTTCAGTTTACCAGTGGATCTGTAGGCGTCGAGGTATCCGCGACTGTTGGGCTTCAAGCCAACTTAACTCGAGTAGAACCCAGTGTCCGGAGAATACGAGGCCATATAGTGCTACGGACCTGTTACACCCTTGTAACTGTATACCACCACAAAGCGGAACAACATTATGTCCAAGGTCAACTGCACAATTTGACTACGGGAAGGAGGGTATGTACAGCTTCGGAAGGTTCCTACAAACTTGTGAAAATTTCTCTTTATGTTGTTCTCCTCGATTGGCCCACAAATACAACATCTGTGCAGCTTTCGCTTCATATGTCATCACATATGCTGCAACTGCCACGTCTGTCTGTACTTTTTTGATCTACCCATTTGCACAAATGTTTTGTCGGGTTTGGTGTTCATTTCCCTAATACCATCTGATCGACCAGTATCCGGTGTTCTGGCCTACAACGACGCACCGATTAAGAGTCTGTGGAAAACTCATTTAACCCGGACCGGCCTAACATCACAACACGGTCCAATCAAGGTTAATCATGCCTTAGCTTGAGTTCGCAAGCTTCAAGCGTATGCTGTGAAGACACATGGCTCACTGATAAAATTTCGTGTCTTTGTCTGTTTCTTGTTTCTAAGGCACACACATACTGTGATCCAACATACCTAATTAAATACATCGCCTTTTCCTCGTGTTCGCCAGCTGGGGTTCTCGCGAAGAGTCTGATCAGTCACTACCGATTTTTATACTCTTGTACCCGTTTACCTGTTTGATAAAAAATCAACTGTACTGTCATGTTACAATGCGGATTGTCCTATTTCAGTCAAATTGGACTGAAATGCATTTACGTACTCCTGGTCTCCGATACATTTACTCCCTTGCGTTCATCATTCTCTCTTCCACGTTGTTCATATGGCCCCGTCCACACGAAGTTTACCCCGAATTCAAGCAGAAAGGAAACGAGAATGTTCGCTGAAATACTGTTTAGCAAACAGAACTAATAAGCTGTTCCCCCAACTGTGCACGTGATCTGCTCTTGTACCATCTCATGTAGTTGTCAACAAGGGTGTCTTTATGTGATCAGGCTGCAAACATCTGTCTAGTATTGTTCATCAGAATGCATCACGTGGCATGTCTGTCCTGCTTCCATGGAACAGCGGTGTCACGCTGCTGACCCACTGAACTTACGCATGTGCACGACCAGCAAACTGAAGTCACAGTCCTCAGTTTACTTGACTTTCGAGGCTCTGCATGTGAGTGAGCCGATGCAGAAATACTGTCAGACATCTATTGTCTATTACTGAGTAGGACACATTTCATGAACGCACATGGTACAGCTAGGTTGACAAATCAAGTCACCTGAATACCGGGATGTCCAGCGAAGGATGCACGATCGAATCTGATGAACCCTGGTGAACAACCTCTGAGCTATTTTAGCAAATGAATCGCGCGCCTATTTGCGTACTTCCATCATGGTACCTGCCCGGCTCGCCGTTCTGCTTCGCCACTCCATTCACGTGTCGGTGGAGGTATGTCTCTCTTCTACGCGTCCATCCTCTGGCTTATTTAAGTACCACGTTTCCTTCATCCGCGGCGATCTTCGATCTCCCTCATTTCCTTGTGCGTCATCCTTTCCACATATGCTACTCATTAGTAGTGCACCAAATAATTGGCATAATGCAATCGAATCATCGCTAGCTTTTTGAGCAGGTGAACGGGATTTCTTCACGGTTGTGTATATTGCATCCCTACTATACGCAAGGAGGATTTGATCATCTTACATGAACCGGAACCCTTGCGTAAAGGCATTTACTGGCGATGATAATGAATGTGAGGGTAGGCAGAAAGCCTTCCAATGTGATTAATACTCCTTTCCAACACCTTGTCCAAAGAGAACGATTTCCTTGATTTGGGTCCAACCTTTTACACTTTCGTACATCCATCGAAAACACGCTCGAAGTTTGCATTGAACGGCACTTACTGTTTGTCCGAAGCGTGTTCGTGATCTTAGAGCACTCATTCAGGGTGACTATGTGCTTGTGCCCTCCTAGTAGGATGAGGTCTTCCTTTTCGCATTTCTGCCTAAACCACCAACATTTCCCGATTTTCAAACGCTTGTCATTCGGGCATCATATACATGTTCCTTATGTGTATTGCCAACTTGGTGGTAAACATTTGTTTGCATTCAGATTATAATATACCATCGTAAATATGCCTTCTGTTGCCCATTGTCATATTAGCCCCTCAACGCCGGTTCCTCCTGTCTCCCTACTCTCTTTCCACACGTAGGGTCATTTCCGATCACGGCCGCGAGGCTCGATTTCCTTATCTTGACGAGCGTGTCGTGCACTTTTTAAGAAAAGTTCCCATACAACACAAAGTGAGCCTTTCCGTGATTTTTGTTTATTTAAATGCCATTATTTCATGTCCCAACGCAAACATGGCTACAGCATCGCTGCTCACTCTATGTCCATTGGGTGTTCGCATATATTTATCGCCTGTGCGAGTTACAGTCCAACTACTTTTACTGGTCATATGTCGCACTGTGTATCGCAAGACATGTATTTGTGGGTATTCATCGCACACTCACGCATCTGAGCCAAGACAGCGCACTTGTTCTCCCGAGCACCTTCACTGTAGCTTCTTGTTTTACAGGACCTGTTCGGGTGGTTGGAACGCAGCCACCTTGGTGTTTGTTGTTTTCCAAGTGATTTAGACGTTGTCTACATTTTTTCTGATTAGTGGAAACAGTATTTTGGATCATTAGTGATTGAGACCCTAGCAAACCATTTGTTCTGTCCTGCGACGCCATTTAGATCAGTGTCATCGGTGCAGTCTGGATTTCAGTAGCGCTAAAGAATCTTACTGTTGGACATTCCATCAGATGCTTGTGCTTTTCTTGCTTGATCCACTTTGACCCATTTTTCTTCGATTTTTCTCACCGTTACACTACGAGTGAAGGGAATAATACGATAGATATGTACTGGACGGGTCATCCCATGGGTATCATGGGCCATAGTTGGATCAGTGGGGATGTGCCACTCTCTCTCGTGTGACGTAACATCAGTGACGTCGTTGCATCCACACTTTCTATGTTTTGCTTGAGTCAGCTTCAGCATTACTCGTGGCTTCGGCATTGTCGTTGCTACCCTCCTCTGTTTCTCGCTCGCACAACGCGTATGTGGGGGTTTGAGAGAGTAGTTTTATGCTGAGTAACATGAGAGTCAACCTTCATTTTATTTCCGTTTGTGCCACCTATTGTACTCTGGGCGTTTTTCCTAGCGATCCCATTCATGAACCCTAAAGGCGTCGGCCGATGACCGAGTGGTCTGCGTACCTGGTTTGCAACCATAAGTCCACCGGTTCGAATCCGCGTAGGGGTGGGCTTCCTCGAGATATACTCAATCCGCGCACGACTGGTGGTGGTCGCGCGGCAGCGAAACGCCGTTACGACGTGCAACTGACACACTATTATTATTCTTATTATTCTTATTATTACTACTTTATCCTAAAGGTGTTTGGCATGTAGCCTACGTAACTGACAGATGTGCATAAGTTGGCTTGCATATAGAAGTAATTTTTTATCGGTTGCCGGTGTCGACTAACGGTTCGAGATGTGCCACGACAGCCCGATGCTCAACCTTGCTTCTTTCTGGAGAGGTCGCTTCGAACCGCTTTTGTACCTCACTATTTTCTCCGCATTACCTTCCCTCACTTGTTGTAGGCAAACATTGCTCTTCTCGCCAGCCGGATTCGGCTGCTCGATCTTCAGTGAATCTGGTTGGTCTAGCTTAGATTGTGGTAATGTTAAGTCAGAACAAAACACTCGAAACATGATTGAGTAAATGTAAGAATGTACACAGGGATGCAGCGGAAAGGACCCCGGACAGCAGAACTCCTGCTACGTTTGACACCAAAAACCAAGTGTCATGGTACAATGGCGGCCACGGAAGTGGCCGATTCCCAAACTAACCTTCTGAACGACACACCATCATACTAGGCATTGCAATCCCATGTTTATAACCTGTTTTGCACTGGCGTTCACATTGTAACTGTGTTTAAGGGCACACTGGGTAACCATTTGGCTAACAGTCGAAATTTGTATGTGGCTTATGTATGTGGCCAGACAACTCTAATCAACACTACTTGGTGAACCTTGGCATAAATCACTCGCTTACTTCGCCTGGCGTTAACGACCAGCGGTACTTAGATGTATCTAACCTCTTTGTGTCGTTGGTGCCTCCCATTCGTTATAGCAACACTGGACACTTTCATCGTGTATGCCTTGCTTTATACCCATGTAACACTCTCTATCTGGTTGTATACATCCACGTAGGTTTGTTTCACCGTTGAGCGCGATATTCTTCTATCCGGTGATATTACTACCTGATTTATTTAATTTGTCTGGCTCAATGAACCAATTCTCACTTCCAGAGCTACTTTGCGTTTCTGTACACCAACCGTGTATTATCAACCCTTTCCCGCATCTACACTTGGCGTTTTAAAGTTATGAATCACGGACCGGAGTGTGTATTAGTTTGCAACAGTTTATTATACATCATTTACATCGGGGTTTTATCAAACAATATTATCCACATCCTCTTCCGCGGGGGAAGAGGGAGAGTCCACCTTGTTCACAACATTTTTCTGGCACATATCTTACTTACAGGCGTTACAAGTGGATGTGGTCATGTGAATCGACGTTGGTCTTCAAATGCGTGCAAATGCCTTTACCTCGCTATCTGCGTACACGATACCTTTCCAGTACACTGTCTATGCTTCCTATATTTTTGCTATATCTTGCCAACCTTTCATTGGTTTGCTTTTTACACATGTAGCGGGCACAATGGCATTTGTATGCTTTTCTGAGGGAAAAACTGTGGGATTAATCCTCGTATGGTTAAAGGCGGTTCATTTTTTTTATCGTACAACGAAGTGTTTAGTGATTCTCTATCCGCCATTTAGGGCCGTTTAACGTACTTGTTCCCCTCTATTGAGCGGTAGGAAACGACTGGCTATAAACGTGTCGTCAATTGCGCTGTGGTATGAGTACGTGTAGAGGTTAGCTCGTCTTGTGTGTTTAAACGGCATTTATCTGCCACCGATCAGCTCTTATATAGATCAAAACGGGTGTCAAACATACGATCTATATTACACTGGAAACATTGATTCTATCATTTGCACACGGCTGTTATAAGTATAGATACGCGGGCGGTCCACTCTGTGCACCGAGACATATGTTGAAAATTTTGTTTTTTTTGGCTCCGGTCCACCAAGTCAGATTCGCTGGACTTTTGCGGATTATTCCATTTGTTTGGTTGCCAAGCCCATTCATCATCAAACTATTCTTTCGGTGGCACCTGTCGTCGTCTGCCTGTTGATCCCTGAGTTTTCGTGGCCAAGCGTGTGGGCCATTGTAGCACGATGGAAGTGCTCGGTTTTCCTTTTTTCCTAGGTTGCCAGCTACACACCCCACTGTGTTCAGACTGATCATCCAGTCTGAATAACCGCCTCACATTGACTGTCGTTGTTTCACGTGCGATGTGACAGCCAACATTTAAGACATACCACTTTACAATTCGAAACGAACAATATTGAAAATTTTGCTCACTTGGCTGCTTTTTTCTTCCTCAAATCACTGACGAACCCACCAACTAATTTTGTGTGGTCTTATATTTCCTCTTCTACCTCGTCCTCCCCCCCCCTCTGTGGCTTGTTAGGCGACCACGAACTGCGCAGTTAATTTGTGTTGATTTTCTTTACCTACGCAGTTTACTCCTACGTTTGGATTACGCAGGCGTAAGATTCGTTTCACTCCTTCTGCTGATCTTATACGTCGGTTTCCGTGGTTGATTGGTTTACTTCACGTACTCCCGAAGTGACCCTCTCAGCTGCAAATGCTGCATTTTATTAAGGCTCAGCGGGTAATTTCATTAAGATACTAGCTTTAAACGTTTCTCCAGCTCATCTGAGTTCCCTCCAAACTGGTCACTTCTTACTGCTGGTATTTTGACCACATTAATCCACTAGACTACTTCCCATTAATTTGTATTCTACCGACGTGAGCTGACACGCACTACCTGTTTCTTAATATGTATCCCGCTTTTCTTTGTCACTTTCTTTTTCTGTTTGAAAGATATCTTGAAATTGCTGGATATTAAATGTTGTGCGCGCGCGCGAAAACACAGCACTCCACTACTATTAGGTTGATAATAAAATTGCTGGCTCAAACATAACGTAAAACCATTTGCATTGACACACTACAAGTTTATTTATCCCGATTGAATAAAATTCCCGAGTTCTGGTGACGATAGAATCGTCGAATTCGGTATTGGCGTCTCCTTGAGTTTTAAAACTTTTCTCTCGGAGGAAGTTACACGGGTGCTTGAAAAAGTGATACTCGATAGGTGTAAAATCAGGGGAGTATGGTGCATGAGGCAGAGTTTTGTAGCTTAGCTCGTGCAGCTTCCGCAGGGTTGTGTATTCGACTTGGGGCCGAGCATTATCAAGTGCCAGCCACCTGTGTGGAAGTTTTCGGTGCACTCCAAAGCTCTGTTGCTAGTACTGATACACTCTGATGTTTTTCTATGGATTCAAAAAGCTGTGGTGGCTCAGACCAGCCGCAGACCACTAACCATTCGCCACCACCTTTTTTGCGTGCAATTTCATATTGGACATTTGCAGTTCATCATGGTTTGCAAGCTGACTACGATGTAGCGGAACCCATCCTCCACCGCCATACAGGTTTGTACTCTTTCAGAGATTAGCGGCTGATCACCAGTGCTCACGATATCTACTCAAAGGAGATATGTCCGTGTAGAATTTAAAGGCTGTGAGGGTTAATATTTCATTGCTAACAAGTTGCGATCTATTTCTCTCATGGCTGAGAGTCATAAGCTGTTGGCTAGTGACGCAATCTGTTAGTGATCGTCGGTTGGATTACTGAAAGGTCCCCAATAAGACGAAACGGCCGTCTTGTGCTTTTTCGGATTTTTAGTCGGAATTTTTTGGCTTGTGAGCTGCTTGAACCAATCGTTAAAGCTGGCAAATTTGAATCACTCAAGTAGCATCTCACGACATATCCACTATTGAGTGCGAGATCTGAGAGACATTTCAGCCAGGCTTGTTTTGATTGTCGCATCTCAAACCTGGGTGTCGAAAGCGTTTGACTCCAGCACACTGATTTTGACGCCTTCGTACTTCGTGCCGCGTCACTCACCCACTTTGCTTTCGCCTTCCGTTGTTTCCCGCTGGCTCAAAAAGAGCGCGTGTCTAAGCTACAAAGGCCGTTGCAGCACGATGTTGCAGCGACGCGGTCCGCAGAGTTTGTCTGGTCTGAAAGTACGTCGACGAACGTCATCATCACGTGATGTTGCTCTTGTACACCAGCAATGATGTGAAGATAGTTGCGATCAAAGACGCATCCCCAAAATTTTTTGTCTTTTAACTATATAGCAGGACCGCTCTCATTGTAGCTATCTAGACTCAATATTTAGGAGAAAGGCTCAAGTCGTATAGACGCCAGAGATAGCGGAGATTAACGAAAAGAATCCAAGTTTTAAAGACACGCAAAAGGCCTTATCTGTCAGACCGTTTATGCTTATACAGCTTCCTAGATAAACGAATGCATGTTGGCACATTCTTCATCTTTGGGAAAGTAGTATCATGTGTGCTCATACGGTTACTGCCTCCTTTCGAACGCTGGTCCGTCCTCCGTTATACTACCTGCTCGATATGCCGTGAAATCTTCTGGTTTTCTCTTTCTGTGAATGAACCAAGCGATTACTGCTTCATATTTGCCGAAGGCTGCCACACTTGGTCATCGTGACGGTTATCTTACCTAGCCAAATATTTTAGTTGACCGACTTATGTGTACTAGCTTAGTCACTCAATTGTTTTGTATCTGCAGCATATCTCACACACTTCATACACAGCGACGTTTTATCACATAGTTTAGTGCTTGGGTAATAGAAACTTTTGCTTTGTTGCTACTGTTGATCAGTTGAGACGATTTCTTCCGCAGTGGCGATTAATGTTGTTTGAGCTGGATTGACATACCAAAAGCCTGGTATTAATAGACGTATTCTTATCTGATTTATAAGAATCCTACGTGTACTTGGTAGCACACTTGGGAGCTGATGCACCAGCTTGCTTGCTTATTGATGACACTGGACGCTTTCCACAAAGACCGGACAGTTATTCTAGATCGCTTACCGTTCCTTCACTTTTCAGTCCCAAATTTGTCTTGATTCACGCATTCATGCATTTCTCCGCACTTGCCGATTTTTTCTGTGAACTACAGGCTACTAAATGCATTTGCTTCCACCTGAGCTGTTTGTGGTTTTCATCAACTGTGCAGTGATTGCACCTCATCAAGAGATGTACATTTTTGTCGGTCCATTCTGTGCACCCGTTGTATGGATAGCAAACTATACACAGTCGTAATGCCTGCCACGGAGGCGTACCTTTCAAAGATAACTGTTGTCCTGCTGTAGAATGCACGCGTACTTTCAGTCGCTGACTACTCTGTTTTTGATCATAACTACTAGAGTTTCTGTGACCTTGACCTGGAGCCAGCTTCGCTTGCTACGGGTGGTACACTCATTGCTTTTCCTCACCATTCTCTTGTTTCTCAATGATATCAGGCGCATTAGGGCCGATCAATTCGGTCTTCACCTGGGACCCGTGTCGACATGCATATGGTCCCACCCACACTACCATAACTGCTGATGATGAGAATTGGTTGCATGGAGGCAGACAAAAGCCCAGTCACCTTTAGTTCCGCGACTGAGACCTTTGAATGCATGTTTTTCACATATTGCCTCTTCAAACTTGTTACACTAACTGCTGGTTGCTGTTGTTGTATGTGTGTGTGTATGTGTATACACGCCCAACGCCGTGTGCATCCAAGCGAGTTGAACACAGCGGTGGGTTGCTGGGCGACAAATTGTTTTTTTTTTCTCAAACCAACACAGTAGGTTTCGTATATGTTCGAGGGACCCAACAATGTGCCGCGTACTGATGTGAAACGAAGATGTACCACATTTGACTACCATCATCAGTCGCATAAACAATGCAAAGACAAATGAACCGTTGGACAGTGTCTTTCGTGGATGTTGCTACCTCACACCGTCTCAATGGTCCCGCACAGATGTGCCTTTGTGTCCACCTTCATGATTCCGGCCAAGCGCAATCTGACCTCTGCGTTGTATGCTGACCTGCGGTGCTCACATGTTAGCTACCTGTTGGTATTGTTTTTCCGAATAGGTGATTCTGCCACTTACCAGAGTATTTTAAATAGACCTCTAAAGCCAACAGCTTTCTTCCACTAAAACTGCATGTTTTTCGTTGAGACATGAACGTTTTGCAATTGAATCGATATTACTAAAGGTAACTGAGATTCTAGCTAGGGCGTCGGGGCCAAATTACAAATTAGCGACTGCAGTCGACTGAAATCGTGAACGATATTCTATTGCTCAGTTGACAATCCTTTCAATATTTGAAAAGCACGGTAAGAAAACGAAAGCTGGTGGATGCATGCATTTCGTATTGTCTCCTCCGTACCATTAACAATAACCGGTATGCAACCATATACTTAAATATGCGTTTGACCGAATAAGCATAAGGTGCAAAATCAATTACGGAAATTCCACCCCTATGTCCACGACAGTCTGATAAATAATTGCTTTTGAACACACAGGGCCGGCTTCATCCGGCTTGTCGCAACGGCCTCGGCGAGACGGAGGAAGCGGGGATTAGAGTGACGTAATACAAGTGCGAACGCTGATCCGAGCTCTATCCGGTGACGCGTAGTCAATAGTTGTTTACGTATTGGGGAAGCTGGCGGTTTGCGCAAGCACGGAACTTCTGTGGTGCAGGGATGCTGGTCAATTTCACGTTGAACCCACATTGACATGTGTTCCTTTATTCGGGAAGTCAAAGACCGATTGGTTCTGCCTATGTAACTGTCTCCGCAATCGTACACGAATTTGCATATGCAATGGGAGTTGGCCCATATCGGTTGAGCTTCCTTCGTTGAAGGCACCAGCAAGTCGAAATTTTTTCTTTACCTCGATGTTCGCTACACGTTATAGGTTCCTGATTTTGGGATGCATATTCTGATTTTTTATGTGTTCAATAGATATGACATGAATCGCATAGATCAACCGGAATTCTACATCATTCACCTTCAAACTACTCAAAATTGGTATTCACTTTACCTGCGCGTTGATCTACCACATTTCAAATGATAATAACGTTGTGGATTATGCTAACACATCCGCACAGCGCAAAACGCTGCCCCCTCAAAGAAGTGTGTTCATTGTAGCCGTTCGAGAGCATCTACGTTTTTTGACGTAACGTAACTAGTAATGATGTTTTTTGAAGAAGTGCGTAGCCGTTCCCATTGGTCTCTGCCGGGTCATTCGTTAGAGGCCGAACACCGTTTGGGAAATGATTGTTACTGATTGATCACTTCATGAAATTCCGGGTAAGATGTTAGCG